TGGTAGCATAGTGCCTAAGGCACTTGACTGCTAACCAGAAGGCTGGTAGTTCAAACCCACCAGCCACTCCTTGGAAGGAAGGTTGGGCAATCTACTACTGCAGTGATATTGGCTCGGCAACCCAACGAGGGGTCACTGTGAGTCAGGGTTGACGCGACAGGATATAATAACAACAACAAGTCATTTGGTGTATATGAAAATTGAGACAATTCCTACTAATTTTGTGTAGAAATGTGTGTGTGTGTATTTTTCATATTTAAATGACTAAACAATATTTTAAAAACTTAATATTCAAGAGAATATATCTTACTTTTATCTTCAATATATTCATCCCAGTTAAACATGCTCACTGTCCTATTGATAATGGTACCATTTGCATCCAATGAACTATTAAAGAAGTAAGTGATGTTTATTTCAAAAGTAGAATTATCTGGGGGCCACTGCAAACATTTATTCCTCAGGTTGCCCATGAACAGCTGTAGTCCTATTAGCGCAAACACACTCAGACAGAACACAGTCAGGATCATGACATCTGAGAGCTTCTTCACTGACTGGATCAGGGCTCCCACAATGGTCTTCAACCCTACAGATAAAACCAGAATAAGGAATTTAAATATATTGTTCATTAGCTAATTTACCAACAAAATCATCATGAGCTTGTCCTGGGAAATAAAGGTATCATGCAGAATGCCAACAATATTTGTTTAATGTTATGATTGAATAACATTTTCATGAAAAGCCTGCTAGCTGGTGAAAATGAATGAACAGCAGAACTTGTATGCTCAATAGAACACTGTGAATGGAAGTGAACAAAATGTGTATTTCCAGACTCCTTAGAGCAAAAGAAATGATTTTGTTATTCATGCTTAAACATCAATCCTTGTGTAAATATTTTGCTTTTATTTGCAGATATCTTACTCCTTAACCCCTTATTGATTTTAGAAAAGTCTATCAATAGAGTAGTAAGAAATCTTAAAGTTAATGGATTATGAGGTCATATATTTATGAATTCTACAAGCTTGAGTATGGGTTTAATGAAGGAAGACATCTGAAAACTGAGCCCCATGCAGTACTCATGCTATCCCTTGTTATCCTCTTCATTTACCTTATTAAAAAGATACCAGTTTTAGATGTAAATGATCAAATTTGCATCAGTCTGAATGCTTCAGTTTAGCTTCTATGCGAAAAGCTTGATGTTATAAGATGCAAACCATGTAGCCTGTTTCTGCAAATGCCTCATGCAAAAACTTGTTAAACTCAAAGGCTGATTTAGGACAATTTTAAAGAAAGCATCTAGTAAAAAGCCAAGAATCAAATGCACCCAAAATCTGATGTACTGATTCTTGCTTTTTTACATATTTATTTGCACTATGTGAGAAGCAACAAGGCTTATGCACAAAAACCATGAATTTGGCAACAATGTAACTAAAATCAGCCTCGGTGTTTAACCTGGCTCTCACCTGGAATGACTGAAATTGTTTTCAATGCTCGGAGAACTCTGAATGTTCTCAACGCTGAGACATTGCCCAGGTCCACAAACTCTGTCACATATCTGTAATAGGGGAGTTCACACACAAACACAATGACAGAACACAAGAAACAGTTGGAGATATAAGGGGCCTACCGCCTTATACCAGTTTCTTCTTACCTGGAATTACAGAAATAGTTTTCAAAGCTCTCAATACTCTGAAAGTTCGAAGAGCTGAAACATTGCCTAGGTTTACAAATTCTGTTACATACCTGTAGAATTAAATCAGCGTTATTCAGAATTTTGGGAACTTTAAGTCTATGTTGGTCTTTCATTAAGACTTATTCAACTTCAATGAGTGTTGCCAACATATTTCCCAGTTAAGAGAAAATTGACACTGTTATCAATCATAATCTCTGTTATTTGGGGGAATGTTATTTCATCACTTTACAGCATATATAGAAACCAAAGCCATACAATTTACTATGATAGTTGCTAATTTCTCCAAAGTGAATAATTGGATTGGAAGAAAACTGTTCTAAATTCACAAGATAACTAAGAAAAATGTTTGATCTGTCAAGGGAAGTGACCACTGAGAAATATAACATAGGTTCCCATCAATGATTTACTTATCCGGGACAAAAAATGAAATAAATATACTTACGCAAAAGTAATGACTGTAAAATCCAACCAATTCCACGGATCCCGTAGAAATGTGAAATCTTCTAAACAAAAGCCCCTTGCAAGTATTTTTATAAGGGATTCAAAAGTATAAATTCCTGTAAATGTGTACCTGAGAGAAAATAGCCAAGCCAGTATTAAAGATCTAGTAAGTAATTTACACATATGTTTTAAAGGAGATTTAAACAACAAGCAAGAATTTGGGGCCTCCATGTGCATCTCCCTATCATATAGATCTCTGGAAGAGCTTTGGGCAAAAAGAAACATCAAATTCTGAAAGATATTCTTATTGGCTTCAAGTGAATATTGCATTCTTCACATAAATTAAAGGATCCAAATTATATGGCTTGATATGAAGGCATTATCTTCAATACATTGGCTTTCAGTTTATGATATTCTAAAATATTCTTATTATAAAATGACTTAACCAAAGAGATACTAATCCAAAAATGAATGAAGTGTCCCATAAAATATACACCACTAAGAACATGAAATATGTATTAGTGAAATGTAACACTCTGATGGCAATGAGAAAAAGAACATACAAACTAGGTATATGACATTTATTCATGGATATTAGTAATGACTGATGGTGTTCAAAAGAGTGTGAAATTGACAAGATAAATGGCTATAAGTATTGGCCCTTAAACCAATATGGTGAATGAGTCACCACAAGCTTTGTCCTAGAAAGGATTAGTGGTTGTAATGAACTTGAATCAGTGTCTGGCTTAGAGTCATTAGTACAATTTGCTGAATGGATGAGGTCTCAAGATGTTATAAGAAGAATTTGGAATATAAAATGGATGTCAGTATTAAAAGATATTTTAAATTTTCTACTTACTCCACATTCTTTGTCCAATCTGGAGGGTTACTCATGGTCATAAATACACAGTTGGTCAGAATAGTGCACATAATGAGCACATTGAACAGAGTGGAGAATATTGTCAAGGAATATAAAGTTCAATGAAAATTCTTACATGCACCATCATGCCATTCACCACCATGGAGTTTAGAACTTTTATGTTCTTATTATTTTATCATTGAGGTTTTTTGTTTTGGTTTTTTACCATTTCTGAAATTCAATAACCTCACATCTGCGGGCTATGCTGTCAAGTATTCTGAGTTTATGTACGTGCTTTTAGTCATTAAAAAGATTTTTGTTGTTGTTGTGTGCTGTTGAATCTATTTTGAATTACTGTGACCTTAGAGGACAGAACAGAACTTCTCCACAGGGTTTCCTAGGCTGTAAATCTTTACAGGAGAAAATCCCCAGGTCTTTTCTCCTACAAAGCCAACCTTTTGGTTAGCGATCAAGCATTAACTATTGCACTGCCAGGGCTCCTTCTTAAAAATATTTAAAAAATAAATAAATAAATAAACAAACAAACTCACTGCCGTCGACTCGGATCCCTCCTTGGGTTTCTGAGGTGGTATCAATACAGAAGTAGATTGCCCAACCTTCCTTCCAAGGAATGGCTGGTGGGTTTGAACCACCAGCTTTCTGGTTAGCAGTCAAATGCTTTAGGCACTATGCCACCAGAACTCAAAAATATTAAAGTCAGGAAAATAACTTCGTTGATGAATAAATAATTTATCAATTCAAGTTTTCTTAATGACAGTCTCAGCTGAACAAATGAATTGCAAGCTCAGTATGTATGTGAACCCTGGAAAAAAATTCAATAGGAAAATTCAAGTAGTTAACCGAATGCATTATAACTCCATTCTAAGGGTTTTTCTGGAAGAATGCTCTACAATGAAGGCCTTCAAGAAAAGAGTATAATATACCGTAATTACTCATGATACTCTAAATTGTAAGTGAAGATGGATGGTGTTAGCACTGACATTAATTGGGTTTGATTTTAGCACTTATTAAGTTCCCTAAACCCTGGTAGATTTGGCTATAAAAGTGAGAAAACAGTAACCAGTTGCCATGATTGCTGGAAAGATCAAATTAGATGAAATATGTCAAACCTCCCAGAACTTAAAGTGCTTGTGACATAGTAGATGTTCAACAGTTTCTGAATCATAGAGAACACTGCTCATAATAAGCATCTGGGTTTTTCACCCTATTCCACTTTACCTTTGTGGGCATAGTCAAAGTCATTTAGTTTATCTTGAGAAAACAACCACCACAAAATTTGGTTCAGAAAATATTCAGTAATTGGAATGATCTCCTTCCTATTTAATAAAAATCAGCAAAGATTCCAGTTACATAAATCATCAGACTTTATCAATGCAAATTAGACACAACTATAAAAATCCCAGAGATGGAATTTTTATTCCCTTCTCACTATATTTGTTTTAAATCATATTAATTAATTAATATAATGCAATATCAACACAGCTTCAAGTGCAGCGCTACGGAATAGTGAGGAACCAAAATTGTGTTAATCTAGAAAGGAAGTGTCTTTGCACCTGTAAATGTTTTAATCAAAGCAACAACTGATTTTTCATTTTACTGGAAGTGGTATAAGGCACATGGTTAATTCTCAGTTTCTTCAAACGCCTCCACAAGGAAACAGTCACAAATGAATTATGTGGACCTGAGGGCACTACAACCTAAAAAACACAGAAAAACACCATTTTGAAGAAGGAACATATATTTGATCTTTTGTTAAAAATAAATTTAAAAATATGATAAAAATAAAGATGGCATGTTATTACTGTATAAAACAACAGGATTCTTTGTCTGCTGGCTTGTTATGCTCTACTGGAAAAAATAACAATCCTGGCAGATTGGCACCATTATAAATGCATGGTCACCAGCCTCCTTGGTCCTCAATACAGTCCTCTATTCCTCCACTTGGCTCCTTTTCCTACTCTCTGCAAAGATAATTTCAAATATTCTCCACTCTCCTCACATCTCCAACTCTCTTCTTCTTTCTCTGTCAGTCTCAAGCAGATGACCTCATTGCCTATTTCACAGAAAGAAAAGATAGCATCAAACCACATGTATCTATTTCCTATCCCAAACTGACTACCCTCTCTGCATTGGCACCTATCCTTTTTTCCTTCCTGTTACAATGGGTTAAGTGTTCAATCCCTCCACCCATAAACTGGATATCTTCAAATTTTCCACAAAACTCCAGAAATCTCTTATATCTTCCCTTATTTATCTTTAATAACTCCCACTCTGTTGGTCTCTTCCCATCAACACTTAAATATGTTTAAGTCCCCTACCCTGGAAAAAATAAAAAGAAAGTATACTTTCCTGCAACCCACAATGCTCTTCAATAACTTATAGCCCTATCTTTCTTCTCCATTTCACAGTTAAACTTCCTGAAAAGGTTGTTTATCTCTGCTTTTCTTCATGTATCAATGACATCTTTAGCCTACAAACCCACTGAAGCTTTTCTCTCTAAAGACAAAATCATCTCCATGTTATTAAAAGCAAAAAAAGATAGTTCTGAGTTGTTAGTTAACGTGATTTCTTAGCCACAGTTGACAAGGGTTGATCTTTCCACTTCACTATATTCTCACCCTTTTGTTTTTAAAGTCTCAACACCGTGGTTTTCTTCATGGACAATTATTTTTCCATATCCTTTAAAATGTTGCTTTTTCCTGGGGCTATAGCTTAAGCCACTTTGCTATCTTCATCTAGGAGAGATCAACAACAAATGTAGCTTCAAGTACAATTTATATTCCCACTGATCTAAACTCTACAGATTAGACTTCTATTTTGAACTCCACACATAGTCAATTATCCAAATACCATTTAGACTTACATATTTCATCAACACTTCAAAGTCATTTAGAGATTTTTAGTTCTAAACTTGAACTAAAAATCTTTTCAACCCCACCTTCCCTCACCTCTGAAACACTGCTCTTTTGAGATCTCTTAGAAGGTAACCCACAGTTTTGTTGAGTAACTAAGAGTAACCTTGGATTTATCTTCCTAACTCTTCATATCCAATTTATTATCAAATTTTGTCAATTCTGACTCCTATCTATGAATTCAGTCCATTTCCTCTTTCTTCAATCACCGCATGGTCCAAGAGACCATCATGTCTGACCTAGATTATTGTTGTTGTTGTTGTTATTTGCCGTCGAGTTGGCCCCAACTCATAGCGAGCCCTCCTTGGGTTTCCGAGGCAGTATCACTACGGAAGTAGGATTGCCCAACCTTCCTTCCGAGGAGTGACTGGTGGGTTTGAACCGCTAGATTATTAGTTACCTTTAAACTGGTCTTTCTGAATCCATGTTAGGCTTCCAATCCATTCTAGATACTGTGTCAAAGTGATGCTTATAAATGTAAATTTGATCATTTCAATAACTTTGTTAGTCTCAGTAAGATAAGATGATCACAAATCTTAACACAGATTCAAGATTCTAAGAGGTCTGACGCTGCCTGCTCCTGTTTCATCTTTACTCCTCACGGCATGCTCTCCATTCCAAGAATATTGTATATGTTTTAGACTTCAAATGTAATGGGCTATTTTGCAAATTAGGGTTTTTATAAATGTTTTCCTCCCTGAAAATGCTCTATTTCACTGTAGCCAACTAGTACTTTTTCTTCTGCACTCAGATTGAAAGCTATTTCAGTACAAAGCTGTTCACAACAGACCTTGACCAATTTAGACTTCCTAGCCCCTCAGTTTTACATCCCTACAGTAACACTCTTAGGAGATTATACACACACACATACACACACACACACGTTGTTGTTGTTGTTGTTAGGTGCTGTTGAGTTGTCTCCAACTCATAGTGACCCTGTGTACAACAGATTGAAATACTGCCTGGTCCTGTGCCAGCCTCATGATCCCTGCTATACCTGAACCCATCCTTGCAGTCACTGTGTCAATCCATCCTGCTGAGGGCCTTCCCCTTTTTCGTTGACCCTCCACTTTACCAAGCACAATATCCTTCTCCAGGGAGTGGTCCCTTCTGACAACCTGAATAATGTAGGTCAGACGAATTCCAAGGAGCATTCTGGCTGCACTTCTTCCAGGGCAGATTTGTTAGATCTTTTAGCAGTCCATGGTACTCTCAGTATTCTTTGCCAGCACCACAACTCAAAAGCATCAACTCTTCTTCGGTCTTCCTTATTAATTTTTCAGCTCTCACATGCATATAAGGAGACTGAAAATACAATAGCTTGGGGTACACGCACCTTAGTCTTCAAGGAAACGTCTTTGCTCTTCAGCACTTGAGAGAGGTCTTTTGCAGAAGATTTGTCGAATGCAATATGTCATCTGATGTCTTGACTGCTGCTTCCATTGGTGTTGATTGTAGATAGAACCAAGTAATATGATGTCTTTGACAACTTTAATCTTTTCTCCATTTATTGTGATGCTGCTTATTCGTCTATTTGTGAGGATTTTTGTTTTCTTCACATTGAGGTGTAATCCATGCTGCAGACTATAGTCTTCAATCTTCACCAGTAAGTGCTTCAAATCATCCTAACTTTCAGCAAGCAAAGTTGTGGTCTGCGTATCACAGGTTGTTAATGAGTCTTCCTGCATTCCTGATGCCACAATCATGTAGTCCACCTTCTTGGATTATTTGCTCAGCACACAAATGGAATAAATATGGTGAAAGGATACAACCCTGAAGACTCCCTTCCTGATTTTAAACCACGCAGTATCCCTTTGTTCTGTTCAAACGACAGCCTCCTGGTCCAGGTTCCTCAGGAGTAGAATTAAGTGTTCTGGAATTCCTATTCTTCTCAATGTTATCCATAATTTGTTATGATCCACACAATGGAATGTTTTTGCATAGTCAATAAAAAACAAGTAAACATCTTTCTGGTATTCTTTGCTTTCAGCCAAGATCCAGCTGGTATCAGCAATGATATCCCTCCTTCCACATCCCCTTCTGAATCCAACTTGCATTTCTGGAAGTTCTCTGTCACTATACTGCTGCAACCATTTTTGAATTATCTTCAGAAAAAATTTTACTTGTGTGTGATATTGATGATAAATTCAAACCAAA